CGTCAAAATGATCAATTTCACTATATTGAAACATGGTGCTCCAGCTTCAATTCACTCATGATCTCAACTATTCAAATAAAAAATGTGACTACCTTTCACGTGATGGTAATACATTTATACGTTTTATAAAATGTCTATATCATTTAATGTGGCAATTATCTGTAACAATGTTACATGCAAAATGTAATAAGAGTTTCGAATACTTGTCAAAACTTGTTATTCAACAACATAGAATATCCTATGGAGATTTTTTTAAACTGCAAATATGCTGTTGACATTACGTGCAAAAAATATCAAGCCTAATTGACGAGCACAATAATCGATTCACATGACTACTTACATAGACAAGTACTTTTTGTTATAATTTTAAACTGCTCAACTACAAAGAATGTACAGTTAAAAACAAGTAACGCTTTTTAATGGATTAGCAAAATAACTCAGTTGACAATCTTGCATTTATTTATGACACCATTACTCAGATAAAACTAAACAATTCTCTTCCACTAAGAATTACTGTTTGGAAAAGTACCCAATCATAAATATTATTTGCTATTTTCTGAGAGAAGTTATTACTATTTTGCTTCATTTACCGATCGTTAACGGTTAGCGTGATTTATGCATGCCCTATTCATTACTTTATCATGATGATTTATGGATATGTTGCTACGCATATAACGTTTATTAAAATAACATACGATGTGCTAAGAAAAAACTAATGGAAATACTTCGATGAATAATTTCTTTATTAATTGTGTATTAAACATTTGACCACCTTTCAAAGTCAGTTATTACTATCATCAACTATTAAAACCAGTTATAAGTTTTTTCCAAAATTCTCTTTTAATGATCTAACCCACGAAATTTTTATAAATCTCAATTGATTATATTGCTTAATCACTAAGGCTTAGTTAGAATTCATCGATGTTGGTTCAGTTGACCTTTCCTATAGAAATGATGTCGTTGTACTAGTGAGCTGGTAGTACTACATTCGCCTATAGTAACTAAATGACAAAACATTGAAACATTCTGAATAAATTTTGCATGTACTATTGTTAGACAGATTAGTGTTCATTAGATGACATTTCCTATAGGAAATCGTTTACTTAAACCGTATATTTGACAATGCTTAAAAAGCGTTTACGAATACGTAGGTGCTAATCACGTAATGACTATTAATCTCAAATAGATTTTGATGGTTTGATCACTTGACCTTTGCTATGGAAATAAGGAATCGAAACAAAAGAATTTAAATCAAATTGTGGGTGGCCCTGAAAAGGGCCTTTACTCGTTCTCTTAACAGTTCCGAGTTTCATGAACAAAGGCGTTGCTATTATTCCATTATAGCTCCGTACATGGGACAGTGGATTCCATGGACGTGTGTTGATGGGTCGTAGGCACAAAATAAATGAAGCATTGCTTCGCATGGACAAAAACTCAGGTACTTCCATCAGCAGTTTCATGTGGCGGTTGCGCAAGATTGCAAATATCATAAACTTTGTTGTCATACACGTCTTCGTTATTGTCGTCGCCTCGTTCAGTGAACTCCTCTGAGTTAATCGAAACAATTTCTTCCTCGTCATTCCTCAACGTTGCATCCATATCGACATTATTTTGACAGTTGGTAACTTACAAAATACGAAGGAAGGACATTGAGTGTTCACGGTAGTCCTTAATGAAAAATTATAATAACACTAATTAAATTACCTCGTTCGTCTACTCGGCTGTGAAGAACCGCTAGATGTTCTACGACCATTTCTCCAACATACGAATCTAATATACGGCTTCCGATCTCTATGTAAATGAGAATCCCTCACCACATAATGGCAGTACGCAGCTGTTTCATAAGTTCTTATGGAGCTCGTCAAGTGATTGAGACGTTACGACATACAATGTGCTCAAGAACGAACAGGTTATCGGTTTCTGTGACAACGTGAGGAACGACAGAGCTCGTACTCTGCATGTTACTACCGTCCATAATTGTAAGAAAATGTGCTCTGCCATTAAATCCTCATATTTTATATCGATTTGAAGAAATAAACGACCAATTATAACGAACTCAAAACTAGTTATTTGATTGGACGAAACAGAATGAAAATTATTGGAAGATGGGGCTGAAAATTTTTTCAAAGGGACGAAAAAAAATTGCACTCGAAAAAAAAAATACAAAAATGGCCGTGCAATAAATGTTTTCCTATAACATTGGTTATATTTTTAAAATATTATTTTATGTCAAAAGTACTGTTATCAGTCATTCTATGGAAAAAGTTAATGTGAAAATTTCTGAATAAATTCTTTGATCGATTTTAGGGATTCTTGTTTTATGTAACAATAAAAAAAGCATCCACGACCTCGCCTACTGAGAGATTCGAACCCAGGAGGCGAGGTTGTGGATGCGCACTGCTCAGGAGTCCCATAATAGGATGAAACGGCCATTCAGTGCTTCCAGGTTTTCCATGGTGGTCTAGCTTCAATTGACTCATGATCTTAACCATTGAAATTACTTTAATATCCACAAAACCCATCTGATAATAAACAAAAGGTTAAATTATTTGAATAATATTCATTAAGTCAACAGACAGCTGAGCAATTTATTTCAGGTTAATTAGAATAGATAATAAATGGTTATTAATTAGAAGGATTTGAAAGAAGGCATACTTACTTACTTACGCCTGTCACATAGGCCGCTCATCAGCATTCTCCATCCAACTCTGTACTGGACAGTTCTTTCTGGTTATTTCCAGTTGTCATTCATCCTTTTCGTATCTGCTTCCAATTCTCGATGCAATGTTTTTTTGATCTTCCACTTTTCCGTTTCCCTTCAAGATTCCAAGTTAGCGCTTGCCTTGTGATTCAGTTTGGTGATTTCCTCAATCTATCTCATATCCATCTCCAGCGTCTTTTCATAATTTCCTATTCAGCTGGAAGCTAGTTTGCTCTATCCCATAGTAGTCTGTTACTGACGGACATTCAGTATCTTGTTGTTCAACTGTAGGAATGCTTTCCTTGATTTGCTAATCCTTGCCTTTATTGTAATAAGGTATAGTAATAGAATTTTCAGAGTATTTAACAATGAAAACATAACATCATTTGTATAAATCATACCGACAAGTTTGATCAACCTCAATTCATATTACTGTCGATTATTCAGTTCTCATCTTTCTGCACTACTGTTTTTTCTTCACTTTTATTTTGCACTGATGAGTAGTTGATAAAATTGAACCAATCAACTCTCTATTAGTTGTTTTAAACAGTTGCGTTATTTAAATGAATAATAATTTGCACAAAAGATGATTTACATTATAAACAGATCCGTTTTAATCTATTTAACTAAAATATACATGAAACGTCAAGAGAGCATCATCATTCTAGACATTAAAACACCCCTTGTTGATAAATATTGGTTAAAATCATGAGTCAATTGAAGCTAGATCACCATGGAAAACCCGGGAGCACTGGACGACCGTTTCGTCCTAGCATGGGACTCCTCGTCAGTGCGCACCCACGATCCCGCAGCCCGCGAGATTCGAATCTAGGCCCTATCAGTCTCGCGCCAGGCGCTTAACCAACTAGACCACTGAACTGACCGGCATCCAGTGGTGTTAATGTCTAACTTCAACCAATCCACGAAGTTGCGCCACCGTATACCATTGTCTTCAGTGACCTGATATCTCACAGCAGGTCTGGTTGAACTCCACTCGTTCACTAGTCATTGCTGAGGAGTCCCACAATAGGACGAAGCGGCTGCCCAGTGCTTCCAGGTTTTCCATGGTGGTCTAGCCTCAATTTACTTATGATTTCAATCTGTGAAATTTCTAAAGTCTCCACAAACCCCTTCTGAAAATATTGGTTAGTTTAGAACACAGATCTAAAGTCTTGTAGTGATTCCTTTCAAATTCTAATATTGAATTTACAAGGTGAAGCTTTTTAATCACCTCTCTATACACCTTTGAGAAATATTATATGAATATGGATTTACAAAAAATTAACATTTTCATTGTATTTTTACTTTAAGTTATTTTATAGAACTTTCAGTTAGAAGGTGTTTTCTAAAGTTCTATTCCACACATTGAAGTTAAACTGATAATAGTCAAAACAAAAATGGAATATCAGAAGGAGTGTTTTGTAGATATAGTAATTTTAGTAGTTGAGATCATGAGTCAATTAAAACTAGACTATCATGTAAAACCTGGAAGCACTGGACGGCTATTTCGTCCACGAGACTGATAAATTCTGGGTTCGAATCTCGCGACGCGGGATTGTGGATGAGCACTGCTCAGGAGTCCCATAATAGGATGACACGGCTGTTCAGTGCTTCCACATTTTCCATGGTGATCTAGCTTTAATCGACTCATGATCTCAACTATTAAGAATGGAATAGTTTTGTTGGAAAATTAAATAAATTTGGTCTTTGATATTTTGTTGAAATCGTAGTCCCGGATACAAGTAATGATGATGTTGTTTAAAATGAAAATTAAGTTTAGTTTTGAAAAGTAAATCATTCTATATTAGTGAACATAAGAAAATCAATGGCATGTATTGAATCTAGAAATCTTCTGATTTATTTTGAATACTTGAGATTTAATGATGTATAGTGGCTAGCAGTGGAATCCAGGAAGTGCGTTTCGTCGTATTTGAGACTCGTCAGCTGGATGTACCTACATCCCAGGGCTGGTGTTTACTCTGGGACTCAAACCCAGTACCATTTTATTCAAACGCCATAGCGTTATCCACTTACCTATATATGCTTAAAAGGCTTGTGACTTAAGGCTATATCGAGGCAGTCCGCACAGGATGTACATATACCAACATGAGACTGATCAATTGCAGTCCTAAATAACAATGAGAAGATACTAGTAAAAACAACACCAAGTGAATTTATACTTGAGATTTACTTTGAATAGATAGTCAGTATTTAAACAACTGTGCTTTGCTTATCAGCTATAAATTTGAAATAATATCTGATTCAAAACAATTTTTTTAATTGCATGTTCATACTGTAGGCCACCATTTGCAAATGAAAAGTTGTTGGATTCTGTACGATCTAAAAATGTTAACAACACTAATAGTAGTAACAAAGTGGAATGTTCTTCTCCAGATGCTAATATGGTTGCAGCCGTAGCATTCAATGCTGTCCGTAGATGGTTTACTAATCCATCAACATTAACTAATTCAGATAATACAATGAAATCAGTATGGAACGAAAACATGAGAACAGGAAATTCTGGTACAAATTCAATTGGTTTCATGCATCAATCGAATATATTACATTATGCATCATTAAATTCTCGTTTACAACATCCATTGCCACCCCCACCATTAGTTTTGAACTCAAATGTTGGTAATACAACCACACAAAATTCAACATACAATAATTATGGAATGTTTATGCATCGTGGACATCATAGTAGTGGATACGTCCCAAATCATACAGCTCCAATGTTACGTGGGGGTAAGAAACGTTCCCATTCCCAATCATCTGTAAATGAATTATTTGATATATCAAGTTTAACAAGAAGTTCTCAAGGTTCATTGAATATCATGCAATCTATACGTGGTTCACATAGTATGGGACCAAGTGCTGAAGGTTCATATGGTCATTTATCTGCTGGTAAGTTGCTATAATAGTACTATTATATAACATTGGAACGCTGAATAGCAGAATTTGATATAATGTTTAAGAATATATATAAAATGTAGTATATCTAATAACTCGACAGTTAGATAGACAACAGTAAAAAATCTATATCAGCAGTTCATAAGACACAGGCATTCATAAATCCCTAGTTAAACAACATCCTATGATGTTTAGTAGGCATCAAAAGAATGATAAATAAACCAGGATGGTGACCAATATCATGTTTATCTAACCTTTTTAAGTACAAATGATTACCTGTTAATTTATAATGTGATCACTAGTCAGAATGACACGATATTGTATGGGCAAAGTTATGATATTAGATTGTTGAAGGTAATTGGAAAGAATATAAAATTATGACATCAGTCACTACTGAATAGACACTCGTCTCAGTTCAACTGGAGATTATTCGTGGCCTGAATACTTCAGTGCTAACATCTCACACTGTGAAACTGGATGATGCATGTCCCACTCAAATTAGAGGCACTGATTCTTTTAAGATTGCAGGTATGCTTTTTTGATGAGGGCCAACTGGCATGAAACGTATATCTAGGATTCCCAACCGGATATATCGAATTACCTAGCATGAAAACTATTGTAAATACCGAAAGTAATTTCTTTGATTGAATCACTATACAACAGAAAATGTTATAAAAGCATTCAACTGAAATGCTGACGTTCATCATCGAACATTTGATGTTAAGATTTTAGAAATGAATATCAAGAGGTTTTGGAATTATGTTTTATGAATGTTAGGCAATTATCAGTATGTGAATATTCAAAAAAGGAGGGAATTGTTGGGTCATATGGTACTCCAATAGGATTCATAAGACACTATATATATATATATATATATATATATATATATATAGAATCGTATTAATTGCCTTCGTCTTCGCCTTGCCTAGCTATGTCTTGCTTCACTTCGCCTCGATTTGACCATAAATCCACCTCCGTATTTGCTTGCACTCACACATTAGACTCTCTGCTTCAATTCGCCCAGTGTCTTTGTAACTTGGTTATCTGTGCTATCCGCTAATAAACTGTAGTTACCGCTTCGTATTGCCTTCTGAATTCGTGCACTGCTGGAGTTTATTTAATAACGGGTGACTGATAAACGAAGCCTAAGGAATTATCCTGAAACCAAACCATTACAAGTTCAAGAAATCGCCTTCGACAATGTCTTGAAAGTATTTGATAGTGAAACTTGTATATTTGTTTCAACTCGTTTTTGACTGATAAGCTAAACATAATTTCATGCTATTGATTGTTGTTTATATTCTTTACGATAATTTAAAGTTGGGAAAATTAGACTCAATGTACGAACACTGAACATAGTTGGTTATGTCTTTTAAAATCATCCCTTAGGTATTTTCAAGTTGCACGAAGATTATTAGCTCATTGTTACTTAAAGTATGTGGATTTGAAGAAAGATAATAGTCAATAATAACTTAGGATTGTTACTATTATTCATATTTGACCCGTACTTCTATGCTTTATTTAGTTAATTTGATATATTGTTTTCCTCTAAAATCACTTTAATTTTTTCCTAAATTTTTAATATAATGATTAGAATTGGTATTAGGGGAAAATTATTTTCTTTATTTCATTTCCATCAATAAAGCTTCACTTGGTGCAAGTCCTGGCGCTTCATGTGATATTCGTCGTACACTAAGCAGTAATGGCAACTCTTCACATACTGCTCCACCGGCTCCATTTAGTGAGAGATCACCATTTTGGTCACCTAATTCGCCACATTCAACAGGTAGTGGGTTTGATAACTATCAAACGTCTTCACATAAATCTTTACCGTTACCGTCAACTTCACAAACATGTCAACAACATTCCGGATATACATCTACAAGTGGTAGTAGTGGTAATCGTTCAACTGGTTGTTTAAATCGTGCACCTTTTGGACATCTTGCGGTTTTATCTTCATCAAATTCATTAAATAAACAATTGCAACAACAATCGGATCCTAATTCTCTGTTCAATTGTTCAATAGATGTTCCGAAGAAACTGACAACTAATTCTCCTAATATGATATTACCATCATGTAGAACATTAGGATTATCTACCAACAGTGTTACAGCATCTTCATCAGAAATAACAAAAAATTGTACTAATAATGTTTTGCAGTCAGCAATGGCCTTCGCTGCAGTTGCAGTCGCAGCTGCGGCAGCCTCTTCTACAACCTCTAGCATAACAGAGAGAGAAAATTCATCTTTATTGAATAAACATGTATTGGAGAATACTTTTCATCGTGAATGTAGAAATCATAGCTTGCATCAGCATCCATCAAGTGAATGTGGGTCCTGTTCATCGACACTTACCATTGGCAATAACAATAATAAAGTAAATGAATCAATCAATTCTATGTATAATAATCTAGTTCCTTCATGCTTTATGAAACCAACTTCCTCTGTTACCAATAAAAGTTCTGCTACTACTACTACTACTGACAATGATAAGAGTAGTACTAATAATCTCTCAACAGACAATCGAAATGTATCTTTAAATAAGTTACAGTGTTATAATAACGATACCAATGCTAATGATACTTGTATGGATGCAACTAATAATGAAAATATTCAACAAGGAGTATTGAGAAAAACCATACCCTCTACTCCATCACATTTTCAATTATCATCTAATTATTCTTCTACAATTTACAATCAGTTAACTCATAACAATTTAAGTAATAAATCTACTACTGCTTTGAATAATGATAACGATGTCAATAATTGTAGTAATATGCCTTCATCATTTACAAATCCTTTACATTGGCCATTTGAGTCAATACCTACACCTGACTGGTCACATACATGGCTTAATCATAATAACAATAATACTAATAATACTATAAGATGTCAAAACAATTCAAATGAAACAATTCGAAGAAATGGACGAGTGAAAATTGGACAAATCGATTTAAATTCAACGGTATTATCCAAAAGTGAAATGTCCAAATTATTAATGAATGAAAATACTACTAATAATCATCATCATTTATTTGGTAAAAGTAATAATCTTTTATGTCCAACATTAACAAAAGACTTATTAAAACAACATTGTGCATTAAATAACTCTAATAATAATAGTTTATCAAATCAACAATCTTCTCAAAGAAAACAAATTGATGGTACATTGAATCAAATGCGTAGTATTAAAAATTTTAGTCGTACTTGTCGTACAACACCAGTATTAGAAACAATAACTCCAGGAATAACCACATCGATAACAGAGACATCAGTAGTTGCATCATCATTATCAACAACAGCTGCAACATCAACTACTACAGGAGTATTTAAACAAAAAACAATTGAACATTCACATAAATGGCAAAATCAAAATGTATTTAATAGTCGTAAGAATTCAACACGTGATTCTAGTAACAATAATATTAATAGTGGAGTTGGACATTGTTCAGTTGATGAACCAGATGTAGATGAAGATGAAGAACTAGATGATGATGGACGTGTACCACAAGAAGGTGATCCAGATTTTGTTGAAACAACATGTCGATGGGGTGATTGTACATTACAGTTTGATGATCAAGATGAATTAGTAAAAGTAAGTTGTATATACATATAAGCTAACAGTATTGTTTTTTAGTTGAATCTTCATCAAACTTTGATAAACAGTAGTAATATATATATGTGTGGAAGAGAAATATAAGAAACATCAAAGCAGTATACGAGTCAGTTATGAAATTGTCATAGATAACATAACCAAACATAATCACTAAAATGTGCAAGTTTGCAGTAAAATGATAGATGAATTATTGATGATCAGAATAATGGAAGCTTGTTTCAATATTTAAACATAGAAAGTAGATTAAAACTTCAATATATAAACATCGCTTCCGAAAGGAGTTCACTTCTCCTACATATAGCAGGAGCTACAAAATTGGATTAAAAACCCTAGGCTATGTGTCTAGAAGACATTTGTAGCCTCCTTAGCAGTTTTTTAGATTGGTGAAGTATAAAAATAGATTTGGCGATACTATAATTTATGGATGACCCAATGAGGTATAAGATAATAGATTTCGGATTTTGGCGCGAAATTCACTCATTCATTTGACTAAATAGAGTTTTGGCATTATAGTTGATATCAGTTCGTTATCAAAACCCTAAATCTAATTCCTAACCTCAAACATCAACTGTAAATCATAATTATAATTCCCCACACTGGTTTATAACCCTCATTTGGTTCTAGTTATTAGGTGGACACTCTCAAGGTAAGTCTGGCGTCGCTCAAAGGTCGTCCATAAATTATAGTCCCACCGTTTTTTCTACCTCACTCTCTTTCGTATGGGTTGTACAGGATCTAATTATTTCAGTACTTCTTATTTGTAATTTTAATCATTATTATCATGTCTATCTTTTTTAAGTTTCAACCAACATCTTATGTTGAAACATTCATCCAAGCTTCGTTATTTTGAATAATTTGTTTCTGAACAACTGTTCATTTTAATTAATTGAAATAGTTATTCTAAGATGTAAAATGATCTGTTATAATGAGTATCTTATTTAAGGAAATTTTTCATTCAGTATCTTTCATATTATGGTACATTTTCGAAGCGTTTGAAAAAGGAATGTGGATTTTCTTTTTGTGTTTCTTAAGCTCATAATATATTAGGGCGAAGATAATCAAAAACCATTTTTCTAGAATTATGACAATCATTCTAGTCTTCAAAAAATTTTAAGACAGTTAATTTGAATCATTACATGAAGATAATATCGGTTGATCAGTTAACATAATTGTTTGATATATATAAAAATCGCAATGGTTGAGATCATGAGTCATTTAAATCTAGATCACCAAGAAAAACCTGGAAGCACTGAACGACCGTTTCGTCCCATTGTGGTACTCCTAACCAGTGCGCATCCACTATTCCGCCTCACGAGATTTAAACCCAGGATCTATCAGTCTCGCGCGAAATCGCTTGTCGTCTGAATCATTGAGCCGATATCCAACGGTGTTAATGTCTAACATCAACCAATCCACGAAATTGAGTGACACATACACTATTATCTTCAGTGAGTTACTATCTCACAATAGACCCGATTAAATTCCACCGGTCACTGCTTTTCACAGTAGGACGAAACGGTCGTCCAGTGATTCCAGGTCTTCCATGGTGATCTAACATCAAGTGACTCATGATCTCAACTATTGAAATTACTACAACCTTTACAAAACCCCTTCTGATATTATACGTCTTCTTCGTAGCATGTCACACTTTAATTATTCAATTTTCAAGAGTTACTGATCCATTTCAATATCGAATTACTTAACTGATAAAAGCATCAGTTAAAGGGTTACTAAAAACCTTACTATAATATATACAAAAACGCCTTCTGATATTAATCAACATATGCTCTCTAGTAACTGTCTTCAAAATGTAACTTCTGGAGTTCTACTGAGAAACTGTGACCACCAAAGTTCAGTCCATGTCTAATGCGGGACAGCTATTCATCGACAGTCTGTATTTTTCACTATTTTCTAACCGGTATTAATTTTTTTGATCTTATTGTGTAGTCTAACTATTTGTTTCAATGTTATGTCATTGTTATAATACAAACACTTTGATGGTCACATTGTGATCTAATTAGTTAACTTGGTCACAAAAAAACTTTGTTTCAATCTATATTCTTAATGTCCAAGTTTTTCAATAAATCAAACAGCTTTCAAATGCATCTGATTTTCCCCCCTCCCAAGTATCGATAAAGATAATCATTCCCGTCCAACCTAGCAAACCATGAAATCTCATGATATAAATATTCTTTTCAACTAGAACAACATGAAGTTTCCTGAAAGTTGCAAAACGTATCCGGTTTGATATGGAATAATTAACGAAGTAATATATATGAATTCAAATAATGCTCATGTTAAATATAATTTTGCAGTCTGATAGTTTTCATGTTGATTATTTAACCAAAACTATCGATGTCCTTTATAATTTTCTATAAAAAGTTATACTACTTCTTAGTAGGTAAAAATTATTATTAAAAACATTTCTATTTTATTTTAGCATCTTAGTACTGAGCATATTGCAGGAAATAAAAAAAGTTTCGTTTGTTTATGGCGAGAATGTGTTCGTGGAACTAGACCATTCAAGGCTCAATATATGCTTGTTGTACATATGCGTAGACATACAGGTGAAAAACCACATAAATGTATAGTAAGTATCAAAAGATTTTTGTTTTAGTCTATTCCTGTACGCATAGTATTGAACTGTTTCGCTGGTTTATGTGTGATTAAAAGTATCACAAAACTTTTAAATAACCCTGCAACTGTTCATATAAATCACCACAAAGTATCCCCTTTATTCGTATTTAATGTTTGTTATTGAATTATTTCTGTTGACCAAATTAAATGACTCCGTCTGGGATTGCTGTGGAATCTATGCTTACTGAACAAAAGTATTTGTAAATGGTGGGATCAGAGCTAGGCTCCTTGTTTGTTAACTTACATCAGGAATACATATCTCAGATGTTGTAAAATTATTTATTGGTTTCAAGGTTTATTTTAAATTTAAATTGTTTCACGAGTATCAGGTGTTCGTTGTCCACTTTCTAGTAAATGGTCGATATCGACCCTAACAATGTTAGTGAGATATATGTTCCACTTAACTTCGTATATATTTTGCCGACTTAACACGTTTTGAAAAGTAGAATATCAGAAGTCGAATGCGAAAATGATTTTAGCTTTAAGTATTTCGGATATCCGTTAATACATACAGACGATGAGAGATACGAATCGGAAAAGGCAAACGCCCTTATTCAATCAGAAGTTAGTCAGTTATTCTCTACATTGGATGAATAATATATATAGTTTGCTGATATCCAATAAGACTAGGAATAATGAACACATCTAATGCAGCCGCGCGTAAAAGTGCACATAATACAGTTGACAAGGTCTCAGATGACAAAGTACATTGGACAGTCATCATAAAAATGATTAAGTTGGGATGACATAATTAATAGTCAGACAAAAATAGACTTCGTAAGGGTGTGATAAGAACTACTATAAGTAGAGTAATTATGTGAAATTCCAAAAACTTTATATGAAAACGATAACAAAACACATAGGGCAGAATGCTGAAAGTTAGGAATTTCATAAATTTGTTCTATTTATTCACTTACTAATATTATTCTTAAGGTGCTCTTATTAGGAGTAACTATTGAGTGAGAAAACTTAAAAAGTTCCAAAGTATTTCCATTTTTTCATTAAAACTGCCCACATTTCCGCATTCTCAACTAGATATTGTTATGAAGATTATTTACTTACTTACTTGAGCTTTTTACCTCTCGTAAACCATAGACCATCGACCAGGAATCTCCGACCTATTCTCGCTTGAGCTCCCCTTTCCAATTGTCGCCAAATGCTATTCATTCTTTTGACATCTGCCTCCATTTCCTGACACAGTATGTTCTTTGGTAGTTTCCTTCTCCTGTTCCTTTGAGGGTTCCGAGTTAAAGCTTGTCTAGTTATCCAGTTTAAGGATTTACACAGTGTATGCCCTATTCACCTCCAGAGTATTTTCTTGATTTTCTTTTTAGCTGGAAGTTGGTTTAGTTTCTGTCATAACATGTTATTATTAATGATTCCTGGCTAAAGGATCTAGAGTTTCTTGAATGGACAACTGTTTATAAATACTTGCACTGTGTTGAGGATGGTTGTAGTAGTTCTCCAAGTCTCAGCTCCAGACAACAGAACTGTCTTGATGTTCTTTTTTAAAACTATGACTTTGATGTTGGCGGATAATTGTTCTGGGTTCCAGATTTTCATCATTTTCAGGAATGTTGTCTCTGCTATGCCAACCCGCAACTTCATATATGCATCAGATCCCTCTTGTTTATCAATAATGCCGCCAGATACGTAAACGTTTTTGCCTCTTCGAGAGCTCACCTATCAACTGGGATTTGGTTGATTGTGAAACTAACAACATTTTTTCTCTTCATAGCTTATATCGTGAACTGACCAAAGATAGATAACCTTTTAAAACCAGGAGGTACTGACTGGTGATGTAAACTAAGGAACTCAACAATCTCCACAAACCTTCACAATAATTACATTTTGAGCAATCATAGATAACATTGTCTTTCAGTCGTGTGGTTTATGATCCTAATATATAATCAACGTCATCTTTATCAATATTTCAATTAATTAGTTCTTAATAATATTGAACAACTCTATTTCATTTTTAGTTTGAAGGTTGTACAAAGCGTTATTCTCGTTTGGAAAATTTAAAAACTCATCTTCGATCACATACTGGAGAAAAACCTTATCAATGTGAAATTCCCGGTTGTAATAAAGCATTTAGTAATGCATCAGACAGAGCTAAACATCAGAATAGAACGCATAGTAATGAAAAACCTTATACATGTAAAGTTGATGGTTGTTCAAAACGATACACAGATCCAAGTTCTCTACGAAAACATGTGAAAACTGTTCATGGTGCTGAAGTAGGTTATATGTGATAAAATTATAACAATTAAAATAAGCATTAAAAAGTATTATTTCGATTATGTATGTTTCTGTCCCTTTGAACTGTTGTCACAATCAATGTTGTAGAGTGTTCTTTTACATAAGGTATATATTTACAATATTCAGTCTATTCAATCTATGATGTATGATTGAAATATCTTAGCAAACATGAAATGGATTGTTTTACATTTTTAATATCAAAACGAGAACAGATCTTGAATTTTATTTTAGACTGAATTTACTTTTTCTAAATAATCTCGAGAAACAAAATCTTTCTTCATAATACCTACTCACTATTACAGAATCTAATGAGTACAAAACCATTGAGCCAATATGTTAAAAGATCTAACGTTTCACATTTTCAGTTTTAGATAATTTGTAGTAGACTAAAGGGATAAAAATGAAGAAAAGTGCATTGATCTATAAAACAACATATTCAATAACTCAATCAAAGGTTGACGAGCACCCCTTTCATGTTACCGCCAACTGTATTTATAAATTTACATGTACTTGTCAAAGCAGTTACATTGGCCGAATATGAGTACTGAAGCAGTTTTTCTGAAACCACGTGCGCCATTCAAACTGGCTGCCTTCAACGTTCGCACACCCGAGAAAGATTGACTCGCGAGGAGCAGGCTGGGTTTCGTTCTGGTTGAGGATGTATTGATCATATCTTCACCCTCCGCCAAACGTTAGAACACCGTCATACTTATCAAAAGCCAACAATCGTAGTGTTTCTTGACATCAGGGCTGCCTTCGATTCATTGGACAGGACTGTTCTCTGGGATTGTCTATTGAAGAAGGGTTTGCCTGAGAAGTTTATTAACATCCTAAAAACCCTATATAAAAACACCTCAGGTAGAGTGAGGGCATACAACCACCTCTCTCCATTGTTCCATTCGAGCAGTGGGGTTAGGTAGGGTTGCCCAATCTCACCATTCCTCTTCAACTTTGCCATCGATGACATTCTGGAAACAGCTCTGATGAATGTAAGTAATGGTGGTGTGGATCTGTTGCCTGGAGAAAGACTTCTCGACCTTGAGTATGCAGACGATATTGTCTTACTGTGCGATAATGCCCAAGGCATGCAATCCGCACTTAATCAGTTGGCAATCAGTGTCCGTAGGTATGGTATGTGTTTTGCACCTTCGAAGTGCAAAGTACTTCTACAAGACTGGCAGGATTCCAATCCTGTATTAACCCTAGATGGTGAACAGATAGACGTAGTCGAGAAGTTCGTGCATCGGGGTAGTTGTGTAAGTGCTAGTGGTGGCGTGAGAGATAAGGTCGATTCACGTATAGTGAAATCCAGAGCGGCTTATGCCAATCTGGGCCATCTTTGGCGCCTTCGTGATGTTAGTCTGGCTGTAAAAGGTCGGATCTACAACGCGTCGGTGAGAGCAGTTTTGCTCTATGCTTGTGAAACCTGGTCTCCGAGTTGAGGACGTGAGACGACTCTCTGTGTTCGATCATCGCTGTCTCCAAAGGATTGCTGACATTCAGTGGCAACACCATGTCAGTAATGCAGAGGGTCGACATCGTGTGTTCGAGCACAGAGACGATAATCCAATTCGTGTCGCCATCTTGAAACATCAACTTCGGTGGCTTGAACATGTTCTACGAATGTTGTCTCAGAGAATTCCACGTCGTGCATTATTTGCCGACTTTGGGACTGGTTGGAAGAAGCGGAGAGGTGGTCAGTGCATGACATGGTGTCGTGGTATGAAAGAAAGCTGCAAAGGACTGGCTTCTGTCGGTCCTTCACGACTCCCTGGTTGGGGTCTGAGAGATGGTGCTACACAGTGGCTAGAGACGTTATCAGATATAGCTCAAAATAGAAGCCAGTGGCGATCCTGCTGTAACCTTCTTTTACTTTCTTCATAAAAAGTGGTTACGTCTCCCTTACCTGAAAGATTTCTTCTGATTGTACCTTTCCGTTCCCTCATTTCTACCATACTACCTTACACCAATCTCTTCGTTATTGTTCTCTTTTTTTGCGCTCCTTAGCTTTTTTTTCTATTTCTCTTCGAATTCTCATTGTTTTGTGTGGCGCATATATATTGGCGCTCTCCTGTAACAGTATTCGTGTGTTCAAATAATAATAAGTATTTATAAATTTACATGTACTTGCCAAAGCAGTTACATTGGCCGAACAGAAAGGAAGGCATATCTTAGATTTTTCGAACATGTTCCAAAAAGCATCAGAATAAGAGAAATAAAGACTCTGAATAGTGCAATCACTAAACATCTCTTGGTTACAGGACATTAGGTCGATACCTTGCAATCTTTCATGGTGATTAGTAAGCAGCCAAACTCCAATCTTCTGAAGTTTGCTGAAGCCGCTGCCATCAGGCGTCAAAAATTTGACTTATGTGTTCAAAAGGAGATGGTTATTAATCTTTCTTCACTTTGGTGACAAATATCCCTTAGCTTCATCTTGAATACATTTATTTAAACTCTTTCTTGCATTTATTACATCATTGAGTTTTATTTCAAATATCTTCCAAATTAATAATCTTATTTTATCAACTGAACTCTACTCACTTTATTCCTATCAATGTTCACTTTTACTATAATCATTTGTTTCTGGCCCTTTGAACTGTTGTCACAATCAGTATTGTAGAATGTTCTTTCACATAAGGTATGATATTTACAATATTCAGTCTATTAATTTTATTTACACCCTTGTTATACTGTATGAATATGTTGAGATGAGATGGTGGTTGGAGGTAGTCAACAGGAAACCCTAGACCCGGCTTTCGTGCTACTTGGCACTCGTCAGCAAGATGTACCTGCAATCTTGAGGGAACTGGTGCACCCTGGCGATAGCATTCGATCTGCACTAATAGGGACTAGACACGCATGACATTGATCGCCACCCAGTGATCAATCAATCGTGATTACATCTCAGTCCCACAGGAGGTCGGTCGCGGCTCGGATAGCTCAGTGATAACGTCTCTGACTGTGAAGCTGGGTGACACGAGATCGAATCCGCCAGGGAGCACCAGTTCCCTCAAGATTGCAGGCACACCTTGCTGACGAGTGCCAAGTAGCACGAAAGCCGGGTCCAGGGTTTCCTGTTGACTACCTCCAACCACCATCTAAATCTCAATACATAATGCTCGCAGTGTCGAGTCACCTAGACTGGTGGCCACATTGCAACATGATCGATAGGATTCGATCTGCACTAATAAGGACTAGACACGCATGACATTGATCGCCACCCAGTGATCAATCAATTGTGATCATATGAATATGTTTTCAGTATAACTTCCAACCAAACCCTCTCATGTAAGTAATTTAAACTCATTATGTAATTGTGACTTTTAAATATCACAGGTTGTAAGCAGCTGACGAGAACCAACGAAATAAAATGAATTCATACTATTCTGCTAGAATCTTCATTCTTGCTCTTTTCAAAATGATAAAAGGAAGTATGTGTATGAAAGATCTGTATACAGAGTCTATTATGTGGAAAGTTATAAACACAAACACGTATCTATTAAAGAACAATAATAATTTTGTATTTATAACTGTAGAACGTGATGAAAACGTTATTCAGTATAACTATTCACTCTAATACACTTTATCTAGGAGCTTCCAGAAGAATTATAGTCTTGGTATGAATATGTTAATGAAAGACAGTGTAATCAAATATGGATAATCAAACGAGCGATATAAACCAACAAACATTCAATTTTGGATAGATATTCCAGTACTTATTGTACTTAAGTAAAATGAATAGAATAATGCTAAGAATGGATTATGAAGTAAATTCTTTAAAATTAAATCCAATTGAGATAGTGTTATAACTGAAAAATAAATATGCTGATTAAGGGATAGCGAATTATTGATCGGACCAAAGACGCGCAAACACGTAGAACGACCTAGGGTTCTGATTGGTCTCGCTTCCCTGTATAGCCCAGCCAATTGAGTCCAGAACGCAAGTCACAGCCTCGGATATATGAATCATTATATTTCAAACGTACTTTGTTTATATACCAGTCAAGCAGTCCACAGCGTACCATAAAATAGAAGATAACATTGTACAATAATGGCCAACAGGAAAATAACACGTTAAATAAATATTGACCAATAAGATTATACCATTTCATGTCCAAGAATAGCATTAGGCTTGACAGGATAATTTTTGGGATATTTTCCTGAATATCCCAACAGATAGTAAATTATTTCAACTATTAGTCATTGAATTAGGAATAGTATGTACAAATGGAAATTTTGATTTTTTTCTTTTGGTAGGTTTATGCAAATAAAAAGCATAAAGGTGAAAGTTGGAGTGATCGACCTTGTGGTGGATCTGGATTTGGTGGGGGGCATCTATTTGGCAATAGTAATCCAGGTAATAATAACAATAGTTATCCTTCTCAAGATAAACGATCCAATGGTTCAATGCCTGGTACACGTGGAAGATTTGGTCCTCGAGGAATGAATGATAACGGCAACATATTTCATCGTGGAGCCTTTATAGATCGAGAGCAACGCCCATCTTCATCGTCAAATCCAAGAGATGGTTGTTTAGCTTGTCTTACTAATCCAGTTCATGCAACTTCAATACATCCTGTAGATATCAATAGCGAAAGCATTATCACAGAATATCCTAATCAAGATTTATCGAAGTTGAAAAGATCCAGTATAGAAGAGTTTGGTAGAAATACTTCACATAATATGAATTGGTATTTACCTGAAACTGATAATCAAAATGTACACTCTAATGTTTTAATGATGACATCATCACCAGCAGTATACAATACAAGAAATGATTATTTCCCTAGTTTGAAATGTGAACATTCCATTTATCCAAATTATTTTAATTTTGCGCGAAATATGTTTCATACTGAAGACACAAATCAAAATGATCATAATAATAACAATAATAATTTGGCTTTATCTTGGACATCACCAACAACACCATCACCATGTGATAACTTATATTTAAATCAAAAAGTTAGTCCATCTATTACATTACAGCCTTTATCGACCATATCAAATCCCATTCAATCATTATCATTATCAATAGACAATTCAAATAACTTAACAAGTATGAAACAGAAAAATCTTATCACAACTATTAACGAATCAGTGACTATGATAAGTAATGAAAATTCTGATCAAACCATACCAGTATGTACTTATGGAACATCAGATGATTTGGTAAAAGATTTCAAAAAATCATTAAAAACTGAAGATAATAATTTAATATGGAATTGGAAATATTCACAACCGTCAACTAATGAAATAAATAAAGATCATTATAATAAAAAGCATTCCATTTTACAATTTGATAACCAAGATATAAAAAAGGTATGTTTATTTACTGCTAAACTAGTATTTACCATCATAAATGTATAAAGATAAATTGAATAGATTCAGTATTTCATTTAAAAATTGTGATGTTTATACTCTTCAATAATTATTTTAAGAGATTATTATACATCTGAGAAGGGTTTTTGTGAATATTATGGTAATGTAATAATTAAATTCATGATTCAATCGGAGCTAGACAATCATGGAAAACCTGGAAAGACTGGACGACCGTTTCGTCCGCGAGACCGATAAGTCCTGGGTTTGAATCTCGTGAGGCGGGATCGTGGATGCACACTGCTGAGAAGTCCTACAATAAAACAAAACCGTCGTTTAGTGCTTCCAGGTTTTCTATGGTGGTCTAGCTCCATCTGACTCGTGAATTCAACTATTAAATTATTATACATCTCAATAGTTGAGATCATGAGTCAATTGAAGCTAGATCACAAAGAAAAACCTGAAAGCACTGAACGGCCATTTCGTCTCATTGTACGACTCCTCAGCAGTGCACACCCACGATTCCGCCTCACGAGATTCAATCCCAGAATCTATCAGTCTCGCGCGCGATCGCTTGACCTCTAAATCACTGAGCCGATATCCAACGGTGTTAATGTCTAACATCAACCAATCCACGAAATTGAGTGACACATACACTATTGTCTTCAGTGAGTTACTATATCACAATAGACCCGATTGAATTCCACCGGTCACTGCTTTTCACAGTAGGAAGAAACGGTCGTCCAGTGATTCCAGGTCTTCCATGGTGATCTAACTTCAAGTGACTCATGATCTCAACTATTGAAATTACTACAACCTTTACAAAACCCCTACTGATATTATACATCTGGTTGGTAGCATGTCACACTTTAATTATTCAATTTTAAAGAGTAAGTGGTCCATTTCAATATCGAATTACCTAACTGATAGACGCATCAGTTAAACTGTTACTAAAAAATCTATCAATTTGGTTCATTGTGATTTTTTAAGTGAAGAAAAAAAATATATGTTAGATGAAGTGGACATTGAAATAAACAGATAGAACAGATAGGATAAAGTAGAAGTTTCGTTATGAGTCGTACGATTTCAAGTACACGATAACTGTTGGATACATTTTTAGGCATATATATGTATATAAATAAAGAAATTATGATGGTATTATGATTTCCCTTAGACTTGTCTAGTAAACAAACTTACATTAAGTTAGCAGTTCCTAAATCTACATTTGATTATAATTAACAAAAAGAGGTTTTGTTTAATCTCAACTAAATTGATATTTGCATAGAAATCTGAACTCATGAATTCATGTTTTGATAATAGTGAATTCATAAAATACTTAGTAAACAGGGAGAGTTAATTTAAAGATAATAATCAAAATGATTATCTTACTAACGAACTAACTAACTAACTAACTAACTAACTAACTAACTAACTAACTAACTAACTTACTTACTTACTTACTTACTTACTTACTTACTTACTTACTTACTTACCTACTTACTTATACCTTTTACTCTCAATGTAGTATTGGCTGCCGACCAGCATTCTCCAATCCATTCTGCGCTTGACCTTCCTTTATAGTTCTATCCAATTTTTGTTTATTCTTTTTATATCTGTCTCCATTTCTCCGTGTAATGTCTTCTTCGGTCTTCCTCCCCTCCTTTGGTCTTGAGGATTCCAAGTAAGGGCTTGCCTTGCGACACATTTGGGTGCTTTTCTCAACTCCGCCTGAAGCCCTCTTATGGTTCCTTCCGGTCCCAAGCCCGAATAAAGGAGGAGGGTATGGTAACAAAGTAAAGATCCATAGAGAATCATTGAATTAGACTTTTATCTTGTTCTGTAACTCTGATCAATTACATATAAGATTACAATAGTCTTCTCTACAATAGTAATTTTCCTACATAACTATGTAAATTATATATGAATGAAATCTCATTGAAAATTAATTTACTATAAACATTATAATTTAATTATACACTTTATTTCTATTTAAGCCATTACCTGAATATTTATCAACATCATTAGAATCTCAATCAAATACACAATTTACATTAAATCTAAATGATCAAACAATGAATCAATTAAATAGATCAATGAATAATGATCATTTCAATGAGATCTCAACTAATTTTAATGAAATATATCGTGAAAATAATTTACAATTTAATTTTCCTTTAAAATGGAAAATTGAAGATACATTAGCTTATTCAAAAAATCCGGATAATAGTAGTCAAATAAACAATAATAATAATAATAATAATAATAATGAATTAAATGAAAAAACTTCTCCTCAATCAAATCAAAATGAATGTATTTCAAATATACCATTGAATAATCTTTATATGGAAGATGTGACAGAGCAGAAATCTCAATTATGTTTAATAGAATGTTCAACTCGATTAAGATCAATACAAGATATTTGTTCACCGAATGGTAATTATCTTTTATTTTAATTATTTTTGATATTTTTTTTTTGCTGATTGAAATCATGAATCCATTGAAGCTAGACCACCATGGAAAACCTGGAAACACTGAACGGCAGTTTTGTCCTAGTACGGTGGCGCAAATTGGTGGATTGGTTGAAGTTAGACATTAACACCATTCGATGCCGGCTCAGTAGGCTAGTTGGTTAAGCGCCTGGCGCGAGACTGATAGGTCCTGTGTTCGAACCTCGTGGGGTGCCGGATCATGGATGTGCACTGCTGAGGAGTCCCATGCTAAGACGAAACGGCCGTCCAGTGCTTCCAGGTTTTCCATGGTGATCTAGCTTCAATTGACTCATGATTTCAATCAGTTAAATGTCTAAAATCTCCACAAAACCCCTTATGATTTTTTTTGATTGAATGAACCTTTGATTAATGTACTGTTTAAGTTAATTGATTTATTTCCTATTATTATTATTAGCAGGTTTTTATTTGTGTACATCTCTTGATAATAAATATTTTAGCAAGACTACAATTTATAGACGCACTAAATAGATTTAGGAGAATAGATCTTGGATTTTGGCGCGAAATTCACTCACCTATTCGTCCAAATAGAATCTTAGCATTTTAGCGGATGTCAGTTCGTGGTGAAAAACTGTAAATCTAATTCCTAATCTCAAATATCAACTGTAAATCATAATTTTAATTCTCCACACTGGTTTATAACCCTCATTTGGTCTTAGTTATTATGTGGACATTGTCAAGGCCACTCTAGCGTCACTCAAAGGTCGTCCACAAATTATAGTCTCACCAAGATTTTAACTGTACGAGGTGGATAATTACAGTAAACTTACCAGATACATGTTGACTGATTTAAAGTTTATTTGTATGCCAATTATGAAACGTATGACTTTAAAATTATTAGGGTTTCTGGGCTTAATTACCTGGAATTCCTATATTCTGATACAAAATTTTAAAAGAAAGCAGCCTATTGGATAGCGTTACACGAATGGTGTTTTGCGACATACAGCTAGAGAACATATATATGTTCAATTCATATGTAAATTCAACTGCTAGGTTTGGTTTTCTTTGAGTAAACTAGGAAATTTCCGGGAAATTCATAAAACGTTGAGATCTGTTTATGTAGATAACACGTTGGATAAATCAGCTTTTCCAAATGAATCATTCGCTTCAGTGATGCCCATAAGGACTAAGAGTATAATGAAATACAACCACTGAGCTTCTGCTTGAATGAAAATCGTCCACAAATGAGGTCTCCTAAGTTTTTCAATCGCTAATTTAGTGTCCAAATGACTGCTAAAGAATCGAATCCAGGACAATGATCTGATCTTAATATTTTAGCAAGATAGTACAAGTCAATAAATTTCTGTGCGAAAACTTCTAAATGACGAGGGAATTGAAGAGCCTGACTTTTAAGTACATCCAATATTATCCCGAATAATGGAAATGGATATTGTATAAGTATACTACAAATGGGAAGTACTTTGAGGGGGTTAAGATTGATACAATCTACGTTTTACAAAGTTTCTATGAGTTCAGTTTTAATACATATTGGACAGACTGTATATAAATGGAACGAAATCATCATAATAATAGCAATAATAACTTACACTACTATTCATTATTATAAGTTTCGTTACAGTAAGGAATTGTTAGGGTCATCTGTACAGTACTGTAATAAATTTCTCTTCAATATACACTCAAATTGCAATTATTCAAAACGTATATCCTACAGTGATTTTTCAATGGTCAGTATTTACCGCTACTTGTTGCTAGCTGAGATTTTTTATCAGTTTAAATGCTACAACCATTTTTTCACTCATCAATAATCAAATGCATGAAATCCAGTGTAATCGCCTGTCGTTTTTTTCAAAGGGCATACAAAGAGGAGAATATTCCAACAAACTCAATGTTTTTATTTGAGATTTACAATACTTTAATATCGCAGCAGGTTGCAAGCCTTTCATAATACTCCTCTTGGTACAAAAAGTTAGGATTTATAATTAGTCTGTTCAAATGGATCCGAAGCACGAAGGTTTATCAAAATATTTGTACACTTAGAAAATATGTTGCCCAAATGTTGAATAGACTGTGCGAAGTAAACGATATAACTTTTTTATTATGTTAATAACTACTACTACGTAATAGATTGTCATTTAGTCGCTATCTATCAAACAATTTTCACTGCCTAAGTTAATAATCTTTACTGATAACCTTATATTAATGTTTTACCGCTGATGAATAACTGTGAGAATGAAAGACACATGATGTGATCATACTAGTTGCATACGCAGATCATGTAAAGCTATTTGAAATGAAATCACATCCAAGTTATTAATTTAATCACTTAAGTTAGCTATTGTCTTGAATCCTACTGTTAGTGGAAATCCTTTCAACAATGATATGGTATTTAATTATGATTTTCTACATTTATTGTAGATATTTGGGATTCAGAGAGTGCGGCTGCATCATCCGGTATTGGGTCAGGTGTAACAACTACCACAGCGTCAGATAACAGTAATCCCACCGCCCAGAATCATCACCAACAACAGCAACCGAAACACTCTCATCAACATCAAAACCGAACAAAGTCCATAAATTCAGACAATAACTATTCAAACCAAGATAATGTTAGTACTATGGATAATGATGAAGCATTTGTTAATAATGAAAATATTAAAAGTGACCTTGGCTCTATTGATCGATCCTCTTTATTTGGGACACCAAGAACAGATTCAAATTCTACTGGTTGTTCATATGAAAGAACATTTAATCCACAAATAACTCATAAGAATGATAATTTATTACATTCTTCATGTACTTGTATACAAAAGCAACAAAAAAGAGACTATTCACAATCGACTTGTTGTTATCATCGAAATTATCATGATCAATTGGTAGATGGGAATATATCTTCTCAATTAGATTCAGAACAACTTAGTGCAACAAATTCTCAAGTAAGCAGTGGAGTTGGTTCAATGACTTCATCAAACGCTGGTAGTGGTTGTAATTGTACCGGTACAGGATTAAACAATACAAATATAAATGTTTTAGAGAATGCCAGTGGTAATGTTAGTAGCAATATCTGTGTTAATACATTACCTAGATTTGCTCAAGGTGACAATTCATCCAAATTAACTAATGATTATCCAAATAATTCACAAGTATTCAATGAAGATGATAATAACATATCAATAATGTGGAGAAAGTATTATAAATCATATGGTTATTGTTCACCGTGTAACAACCAAAGTGAAACGTTTTATCCTGAAATATTCAATTCCGAGACGGAGTGTTATTCAAATACACCAGCAACTGTATTAAATGGTTTCTCTTCCACTGTTTTCCCTGTTCCACCTTCCATTTCAACATATCAATACCACCATAATCCTCATCTTCATCATCATCATCATCATCAGCAGCAATGTCATTCACAAAATAACCTTGACTTAGTTATGTCAAGTTCAAATCATAATAATGATGAAATGCACTTTTCTCCTCACAGTTATGTTCATTCAAGTTCATCTAATTCATCACCATTCAATTCAAATCGTCCACATTCTGTTGAAACATTTTCGCATAATAATATAACGAACAATCGTTTATTTGACCATAGACGATATACACATACTTCATTACCTACTAGAAATAACAATCATGTTAATGAAATGAATAATACTATAAACCAAACTAATCCACAGCATCCATACAATATATGTCTTTCTTCTATAAATAATAATAATCAACGTGATATGAATAGTAATATGATTTTGAAGAGACATTCTATTACTGATGATCGATGTCATGTAAATGGAACATGGTCTACTAATGCAAATAATGGTAATGCTAATCATCATTATTGGTCACATCCATATTATACTAATCAACAGTCTATAGGAAATCAAATTCCTAATTGGTTAAATAAATCTGGATTAACATCATCATCATCGTCAACACTGACATCGACATCACTAACAGAAGCTATGAGAACACATAATTCATCAAATAGTTTATGTGTAACATCAAGATTTAATGATTCAATAAACTATTATCAAGAATATCCTAATTGTTGTCAACCAACAATAAATTCATTTCAAATAAATCAATCTTCATTATCCCCAATTATGTCTACAAAAACTTCTGCAAAACAACACTCTAAATTATCTTGGACAACAGATGATAATTATTCCGAATATCTTAATTCAAATCATTCACAAAATTCATATATTCAATCTAATCGTTTGATTAACATTAATCATTCTAGTAATAAGGACAATTTAATTGAAATAGATCATAATAATCGAACAAATATTCAAGGGAATTGTAATTCTGAATTAAATTGTTGTTATACAAATTTTCAGAATAATACAACACAATTGGAAAATATAAATCATATAAATACTAATCCACTACTCATTTCGTTAACTTCATCTCAATCATTTTTGATGAATTCATTCAATACAACATCCATAACAACAACAACAACATCTGAACAAACTCCTTATTCATCTTATCATTTAACCTCAACTTCAAATAGAGTTCATCAAATAAATCAAAGAGGTGTTGAACAAATAAATAAAATGAACAATTTACATTCATCCACAATAGCTTCAGTGACAGCTTCTGCAACAACAACAACAACGACAACGTCTACAGTCAGTAGTTATCAGAATTTAAAAGAAAGAGAAGTATACAATTTCCCCGTACCAAATTCTATTCGTACATATATTAATCCATTTCATTCATCTAGTTCATTGTACAGTTCTTTCTTACAATCAGTTTTTGAAGAACCAACATACACATCATCATCATCATCGTCATCATCATCGACATCATCATCACCATCTCCATCCTTATTATTATCATCGTCATCATCAACTCATCTCGGTCATTTTAATCAATTATTTGTAAATGCTGATCCTATAAGTAGTAATCTAGTTGTCTGTAATATGTCAACTATGGATACAGATTGTACACCATTTGATTCATCTAATTAAAAATATATTGTATAGTTATTTCAATAAAAATGTGATAATACAGTATATCAATTATGATCACAATCATTTTTTGTTGTTGTTGTTGATATATTGATAAAAACTGGTGAAAAATGAAATCATCCTTCTAATTCTTATTTACTTTCTTTCAATTTCACATTTTTTTTGTTGCTGTGAGTTATCAATGATAAAGTTTTATGTTTTTGCAAACTAGTCAGTATAGTTTGTAGCATTTGTTGTTGTTGTTGTTGTTGTTGGTGGTGGTGGTGGTGGTTTATTATTATTTCATATCCTTTAATAGTATCAGAATTAAGTTAAAAAACTATACTCTCTTTAATAATTGTATATTATTAAAATTGAAGCCGGTGTCATTTCTACACCTTCATTCATACTAATTGTATTATTCGTTAAAGGAAATAAAAGCGCCATTTTTTTCCGTTATTTTTTATTTCTAAGCATTATTTATTACTTGTTTTTATCACTCATAGATACTTTATTATCGTCTGAAAATTAGCTTATAAATAATTCAGGAGAACAAAAGGCATATGTATTTATTGAATGCGTCGTTTATTCTGTCGTTGTTGTTGTTGATGTTCTTGTTTATTTTACTTCTTTTTCCACCTACTTGTATATCCGGTCATAGAAATGTATTGACTTTTGAGTCTTCATTGTTTTCATTTCAAAATCTTCATGATTTTTCTATTCTTTCTTCTTTCTTTTTTCAAATGAAAACATTTTGCTAATTATCTCTTATAACTGATTATTTAATTAAATTATTCATTCATCAATTTATTTTAATCATCCATTCAAAAGTTTACATTGAAAATAACACAAGAAAACTAAAGTTTAAACAAACAAACTAACTAACTAACTAATAACAATCAAGAAATAATAGTTACTATGCTGAATTAAAACCAGAATTTGTTTTCTTTTTGTCATTCAAATCATCTGTAATTATAAATTTATTTTCCAAGTTTCATATTTATGTTTTCTTTCTAAAAAAATTTTTAAAAAATCAAAAAAATCAAAAACAATTCCTATCCCTTTTTAACAAACATATATTGACTAAAAAGAAATTGAGATTTCTTTAACTTTAATACACATGGATACCAGTTCTAAGAATATTGATCAATGTTTCATATAGTTTTGTTCTATTATCCTAGAGTTGAATATTCACAATCTGGTTTAATGTGTTTAATTACCCCATGGATACTACATATTAATATACAAATAAAACTATGATAAATTTTATTTAATTTTCATCATATAAAAATCAATTATTATGTAAACTGTTGTTATTCATTTGAATATTTTAATAACTCTAATTGTGTTTTGATAATAAACCAGTTAGTTATAAGATTTAAACATTGAATGAAAATTCAGATTTCAATTAAATAAAAGTTCCAATTTTCTTTCTGGTAACTTTTACTATTTTCTTTCTAATTTATATATTTATTGTATCCAATTTAAAAAAGGACATACATTATGTTTTAAATGAAACATTAAAGGTTACTAGGTTATCATTAGATTCCTGTTCTTCTTTCTTTCTTTTTTTTTTGTACTACTAATATCTATTCATATGACGGACATTGTTAACTGACATCTTAAAGTGAATAACGTCTGTTGTAATATCTTGTATAAATGAGTACACATTCAATAAGAAGTTATGTGTTTTTCTAGTGTGTCTATTTTATCTTGTTTTATTTGTTATTCGAACGATATCTAAATATTATTTTATTATAAATGTAAAGTAATGAATAGATAGTTATTTCTATATATTTTTAGGTAGTTAATTACTCATTTATAGACTGAACAATTCGCTTTTCATATACAAGAACTAGCCTTCAAACTGTATACATGGTTTTCAAACATTCATTTCCGATATTAAACAGAATAGTTAGGTTCTATTCCGTTGGAGAATTTGTTACTTTTAGAGGTTTTAAACGAAAAACTCGACCTCGCTTGTCTCATAAAATAAATACACATAAATGATTTTTTTATATCCCTGGAGATTCTTTAAAGCAACTTGTCTTTTTTTTCAGGTAAAAGTATAGGATTGATTTTAGAAGGAAATTTGTTTTTCTATACGATTGTTTTCAACAAATGTCCAACTGAATGTCACTGTATTAGCCTCGGCGAATCAGGGTATATGATGTTATTTATTTGTAGAGTCAGTATATACTACTATTTCTTCAGAGTAGTGTTTTACAGAAAGAATTATCTCTAATCTCAGACTGTGGGTATTCTGGCAGTTAATTTAAGTGGATAAATAATAATCGCAACTGAAAAATATATTGGATATAAGGAATAACGGTAGATTACATATATTTGTCTAAAATTTCGAGTTTGGAAATATCAAATCCAAAAATAATTCCCAAAAAAGAGATAAATTAATAATCACTCATAAAAGGGATTACAGTAACAGTAAAGAGATTTTAGAACTAAATCAACCGACTAATATCTACTATCTTATTGATAATTATCTAATAATAGGCTTGGTCGTAGACTAATATTCTAGTTATGACTCATTGGGAAGGGTGCGGCAAAATTAAATGGGGAGAAAGCTGCAGGCTTCAGTTTAATAACTGCAAGTGCGCCTACAGATGATCATTTACAGTAATTATTTAAACAGCCCAAAGTGTTTTTCAGAATTTGGAGATACAATGTCATAACAAATCAGGTTGTGCTGGGTTCTGTGTGATTAGGCCGTCATGACAAGATAATAATTGCGTGGTCTAAGGATGTCACAGCTATTCAAAGCTTGACAACGCTGTTGTCTGTAACACCTTTGCAATCGAAGATCTCAAATCCACTTAAACCAGAAACAGGGAATGAGGGAGTTTTAAAATATATTTGGAAAATAGTCTGTTCATAGAGAAGTGTGTGATCTAAACTGTCTAGTTGTTGAGAGGGATGCGTTGCACGGTACACCCACTCTTGATCTTTTGCAGATGCTTGACCTAGCGTCTCCAGCTAGGATGTGTTCAGTATAACTAATTAGGTCAGTATCTACCTGTAAGACTTACAGACCCATTTATTTAAAGAATTTGTTTGGTACTACAATCCTCGTCCTCTAATCCTTTATCGATCAGTTCACCTCTGATATCAGTTCGACAGGTACAAGCAGGACCTAAATACCAAGTGACATCAATAAATGGACATTAACCAGGACCTTAAAGGATATTGGTCCTTAAACTCCTTCTGACCCAGAAGGCAGTCGGAAGACGATGATGAAAAGTAGTTCAATTTTGTGTTGTACTTAATTCAGTTGTAACTCCGAACTCATATGCTAATATACCTGAAGTGTCTGACCACACAACAACAAAACTATAAAACTATAATACATGTATGACTTAGTGATATGAGACGATAGTAATAGGTAAATAATTAATAAATGGTAAGTTTAAAGTGATAAGACATGTGATTACGATTTACAGATTAAACAAAAGATTTGAAATAGTATGCTATAAAAATACAACAGCCTAAGAGCTCGCTAACTTTATGATAAAAATGTAAATAATAATCTTTCTCACAATAGTTTAGAAAGTCATAATTCCGCATTATTCGTCCCATTAAAAATATGAAGGTAGATTCATTTGACCAGCCTCCACGACCATTAACTGTTCATCTTGGCTGAAGCAATCTCCAAGATTCAGTTTTCACGATCCGCTGACGCTTAATGGTAGCTCGAAAACAAGATTCTTATTTTAGTCAGGGAAAAGGTTAACCTTCTGAATCTGTAGGGCCAGTAAAATGTTACTGAGCCCTAGCAAAATCTTCCGGGAGTTGGGTCACTGAATATCGAACAGGCTACCAATCCATCGATCGGGGACAACCAGCGCGCATCGTATGCCATGAACTGGCACATGCAGTGGTGATCTCGCTATCGTCTCTGTACTCATTCTTACTAATATATTTCCATAACAACGTCCTTTGTGTTATACGGTCTTTAGAGCAACAATAGTACTTTGATACGTTGAAGGGGTGATCTACGTTAGATGCTGACCGCAAGATATGACTTCGAAGTTAGCTGGTTTATCACACTACTCCTATGTAACTCCAGCAGGCCTCTAATAATTCGACATAGATCGTCAACGTTGATGATTAACAAAACTAAATACTATGGTTGCTATGACAAACTAGTTTTTGTTAGCAAGTTCAAATTCGCCATATTTTGTTAATTAACTAGACGTTTGTGTGACCGTCTACAAGACCTTGTATGAAGTCCCACCACCGTCTATTTTCTTCATCTTAAGAACAAACCCAGTTTTATTGGTAAAACATTTGGTAAAAAGATTAAAGAAATACATAGTTTTCATACATATTAAAATGAACGTCCACGAAGGTCATTGGGTGTGTCGTAGCAGTGTTCAAAACAGTTTTATATAGTGGTGGGTGGAATAAGAGAGATTTTTAAACAAGCCCCTTCATGTTAACGAGACAGTAAGTCACCTATATATGCATATTATTTTTACTAAATCTCTTACTTATGGTACGTTAAGCGTTCTTTGTCTGGTTTCCGTATACCACATCTACACCGAGTTGCAACTGGTCACACATATCTCACGAATCTCCTTTAATTATTTGAACTTTGCAATAACCTCTATGGACTAATCACAATGGCTACGTTAATTCATTTACAACACCAATACTTTTCCAATTTAAGTACTCATATTTTAACTCTGAGAACTCTTTGTTTGTATGTGTGTCTATATCTATAGGCTGATTTGTCACTTATTTGCCTCTATATGATATATCGTTCATCTGATATGAAAAGTGATCGACTCTAAACCAAGTGTCCATCAGCTGGCAATGGATGGTTTGTACACTGCTTTCTCCCGTTTATTTTTACGGTCTTTCTGAATGCGCTATGATCCCTGAAATAAAATTCTTCCGACTATCCTACCTAACTTCCCTTGTCTCTATGAGCATCGAACTTGTTGCCAATTATAGTTGCAGTCTCCTGACAATTCCAAGTGACTTCCTGTCGTCACTCTATGTACAAGTATCCGTAAGTTATGTAAATGTAGAGGCTTCTGCTGTAAACACTCGTTGGTTGCTTTGATGGCCAATATTCATGATACAAAACACAGCTTACACACTTTTACCATCTTTCAAGATAAGAGGAGAACGGACGACTACACAGGATATAAATTTCTTAATGACATTTATTAATCACAATCACTTGCATATAACAAAAATTGTCTCTCGTAGTTAAAAGTCACATCATAGTCTTGAAATCAGTAAAAGAAACCAGTAACCTTAACACTTATATTTCCTGTTCTCCCTTTCCACCGTTCTTGAACGATCTAAAACATATGTGTGTATTGAAGACAAACAGAATGTAGTGTTTGTATGCTCTAATGATCCCCTTGTACTTAATCACCCGCTTGATATCGAATTCTAAATACAACACGTATGCTCACCTAGTTCTGTCGGGCTTAAATTGTATTATTTCTTGGATTCCTAGTTCGCATAATTATTCGAATACTCCTAACCATCACCATACAGACAGCTAAAACGAATACATAGGCCCAAAGAAAACAAATTTTGGTACGCATAAAAAGGAACGACTGTAAATTGTAATCGAAGGGCAACAATGACTATGCTTCATTTACTTCTCACTCATGAAATTATGTATTTTTTATAAACGACATTAATTTTCATTGACTCATCTTTTATATTCCCTACTACTATTAGGTATCTATCAATTTCGTTGCTCTCTTTTTCCTGCTAATAGACTATATTGATTTTCATTTTTGTACTAACGATGGTAATTTGTGTTTTTGGAAACATACCGTTTTCAAAACCAAAAGGCCTGTTTTTGCTAACTTTGGCCAAGCTAAGACGTTGAGTTTCACACCACTGGGTAATAGTTTAGAAATTAGTTTGTCATTGATAGTCACCACAGTCCTCATAAATGAATTACAGGTATTTTGGTGCTATTTAATTTGTGAAATGCAGATATTACATAGCCGATCAACACTAAAATCCATG